GGAAGGAAGGAAGGAAGGAAGGAAGGAAGGAAGGAAGGAAGGAAGGAAGGAAGGAAAATACATACATATTCCAGTCTACATTGTGAGCTCTGCTGGCCTAGTCTGCAGGGAGCAACACTGCTAATTCAAAGGCTACACCTCTTTGGCAATTTGAATGAACCAGCAGTTCCTTGGGACAAAGATAATCCCTCTCTTCCCATGTGATTCACAGTCTCCAAAATCCAATGGAGGCTCAGCTGGCAGTTGGTTCTGACTCAACAGCAATGAGCTGTTGACTCAGTCTACATTGTAGAATTAGAATCAACTAACGGTGTGCCCTAATGTCATAACAGTTACACATGGCTGACAATGTTTGGTCGAGCTCACTGAGTAAGACAGGCTTGGAAGCAAGAGTGGCATCCACTTCCTAAACATGCCTGTGCAAACTCTATGAACTTAGAAGGACGATAGTTCTTTTGTTTATAGGGTTGTTGTTAGATGGTAGCTAACAACAACAACATATAACGCCAAAGCCCTTCTCTCCATTTTGGAGTTGGATGAAGCAGTTGGAGTCTGTAAGATAGTACTCTTGTTTTGGTTGAGGATCTGCGTGGATTGTTTGGTTGTGTTAATTTAAGCCTCTTGTTTAGAGTCAACAAGAGGCTCCCGGGGGGCCCTTATATTTAAAAGTTGGGCCTGAGGGATTATATTTTAATCCTTTATTACTCTACTTTGGAGGAACATTCTTCTAAGTCATACAGCATTCTGGCCAATTTGGTGTGATGAGGTAATCTGGGTTTGCTGTGACACTGAATCTTGTGCCACTTGGGTTTCAAATGCCTAATGGAACAACTGTGCCATAGGTATGCCAAACACCATCATGGGCAGCTTCATTGGAACTCCCTGATTGATCCAAGTTTGGAAGCAGGAGTGGCATCCACTTCCTAAACCACATGCCTCTGAAAACTATGAACTTGAAGAAATAATAATTATAGAAAGGCTTCAGGCCTTTTGTTCATAGGGTCACTATGAGTCACTCTCGACTCAATGGCAATAAACAACAACAACAACAGGCGAAATAGATTGGTAGTCATCAGAGACCCTAATTTATAAAAGAATATAAAATTATCCTTGAAAAAAGTATCATTGATGCTCATGGTGATGGGAAAAATGGATAGTGGTGATGGTTGTACAACATGATGAATGTAACCATAGTATTGAATTGTGCATGTGAAAAATGTTTAGTAAATGTTTTCAAGTGCGTATTTTTACCACCATCTAAAAAAACATGAAATAAAATTAGATGAACCTATTTTATGTGCCAGAATTTCTAGGCAACGGACTGTATGTGGATGGAAAAGGAAAAAACTTTCAAGAGGCTTGGTAGGGATAAGATCAGTAATGAGTCCAATAAGCACATTCACACAGGCATATCTCCTCACATTAGTAATGTGGTTTCTAAACTGTGATCTAAAAAACTGGGCACCAATCATTGTTAGAACAGGGCTATTGCTTTGTCCTGCGTGGTGTTAACTATATCTGCTTATCAGCAGTTTGGAGCTACCTAGAAGCACCTGACTCATCAACAACTTGCATTATGCAAACGATACAACCTTGCTTGCTGACAGCAAGAAGGACCTAAAGCACTGCCATATGGATTGCATCTTAATATCAAGAAGAAAAAAGTCCTTACTACTGGACCAGTAGGAACATGAGGATAGATGGTGGAAAGATTGAAATTGTCAGTGATCCTCTTACCTGAATCCACAATCAACATCTTTAGTCAGGAGAGATCAGGAGATGTAGCGTTTGGGGAAAATCTGCTGTCAAGGACCTCTCCAAAGTCCTGAAGAGCAATGATGTCAGTTTATAACTACGGTGCATCTGATTCAAGTCATTGTCTTTTCAATCACCTGCTATGCATCTGAGAGCTGAACAATGAATGAGGATGAGAACTGATGCCTTTGAACTGAAGTGTTGGAGAACAGTAATGAATATACCATAGACATATTGTTGTTATTGTTATGTGCTGTCGATTTGCTTGTGACTCATAGCGACCCTATGTACAACAGCCCTAAACTCTGCTCTGTCCTGTACCAATCGCACCATCTCCAATACACCCATTCCAATTACTCCAGTCACTGAATCAATCCACCTCATAGAGGGCCTTCCCTTCCTGCGCTGTCCCTCCACCCTACCAAGCATGATGTCCCTCTCCAAGGACCGGACCATAGACATACAAAAAAAAAATCTTGGGAAAAAGTGAAGCCAGAATGTTCCTTGGAAGCAAGAAAGGGGAAGCTTCATCTCATACAGTTTAGATATGTTGCCAAGATAGTCTATTCCCCAGAAAGGGCCATTTTGCTTGGAAAGGTGGAAGGTCGGCAAGACAGAGAAAAGACCCTCAATGAGATGGCTTCATTAATACAGTGACTAAAGCAATTGGCTTAAGTATATCAGAGATAATAAGGATTGCACAGGATAGGACAGCATTCAGATCTTCCCATAGGATCGCTGAGTTGTACTCGATGGCACCTAACAACAGCAACAGCAACAATAACAAGCAGTACCCCAGAAGAAAGACCAGGTAACCTTATTCCATAAAGAGAGCATTCAGGAAAATCCTATGGAGCTCACTTCCACGTCAGTAATACATGGGTGTAATACATGGGTTTGCTATGAGTTGGACTGACTCGATAGCAATAGGTTTGAGTGGTTTGGGAGGGTATTTTGGTTTATCATTTTGCCCAGTGAGCAGTGAACACTAGTACTGTCACAAGCACTTTCCCTTCTCTGCTCTCCTCTGAGTGGAAGTTAGGTGCCCAGGACACACACATACACACACGCGGACACACACCACCTCACTATAGATATCGGCTGAGGAAATGCTTAAATGACAGTGGGTATGACGGATTGCTGACTCTAGTGTTCTCAAAATACTCCCGGGACTTGCTGGAGCCAGGAGTGTAATCAATGTTTCAACCATATTTCCTTTTATGTAGGATCTATTCCTCCTTCCTATTCCTTTTCCCTCGCAAATCAAAACTCCAACAGACCCCAACTCCCCATGTAACAACTGAAGTTAAAGTGATTCATCAGAGGATGAACCAACAGATTTTTTCCCCCTAACAGGGATTACTGCTAAATAAAAAGAGAACTCGGTAACTAATAGCACTAATTAGTAAAATGTATTTGACCTTCCTATTTTGAGAAGCTACTGTTTTCAGGTGATTCATAGCCACCCTATGAACAACAGAGAGGAACACTGCCCTATCCTGTGTCATTTTCATAATCCAGTTCTAAACATCTTCCTGATACTCTGCCTTCCCCTCTCCCCTCTATATCCCATGATCCTATTTATAAACCTGCCTTATAAACACATTCCACTTGCCACTTAATCAATTCTGAGTCAGTTCCTAGCAGGAAGTGAAATATTTAGGGCTTAGTTCTGGGGAAATACTATTAATTCAGTACATTCGGTATTGCAGAATTCATTCATTACTATATGATGTGGAAACGTCATCATTCCTATCACCATCACAGCCAAATCAAACCCATGAGCCAGCTGCTGGCTTTGTATTAGGGGGTTTTGAAAATTTAACTGAAAAGTAAATCAACAGTGTCCTTGATGACAGGAACAGACGCTGCTTCTATTGTAAAAGAAATCAGTTTAAAAGGAGGGAGGAAGAAAGAAAAAAGAAGGGAAGAAGAAAACCAGTTGAAACTAGGCATTTACTTGAAAAGGAGCCAGCAGACTGTAGGTGCTAAGACAGTGTCACACAACGCAGAGAGAAGGCATTGGTCAGAAGGCTTCCTTGGCGCTATTAAATTTCTTTGATGGCAGCCTTGGCTGAGAAGGCAAGGCACAAAAGTTGCATTCAGGGTTCTGAGGATCAAGAGGTGGTGTCTGCGAACTTACGGGGATGGAGCGGCTCAGGAATCTTGCTGAAGAAGTAGAAAGCCCGGTGTAGGAGGGTCGGAGGGGGGTGACATGTTCCTCTGTCTTGGCGCTGTGGGGACCAGGGTGGGTGTTCAGGTTACTCCCCGTGCTGCTGCTGCTGCTTCTGTTGTACTGGTTGTTGTTGTTGAGCTCAGGGTAATTTCTGGCAGCCGGCTGGGTGCTGCCATTCATGAGGCTAGTGAACGGGCTGGCTGTGAAACCTGGCTTAGAGGATGGTGAGATCTTTTTGTTCTCTGGATCATCTGTGACAGAATTCAGATTCCCAAGGGAACTGGCTAGCCGAGAGTTGATGGAAAAGCTGGATGGAAAAAACCAGGTAGGGAGGGTGGGAAATAGACATCAGTGGGTACTCATGCAAAGAGTCCAGGTTTCCAAAACAATGTTTACTACATTACAGGAATGTGATGGGAGACAATTCTAATCAATGCACAAAATGTATCACTCTTGGTATTATAAAAAGGGGTCCTGAATTATACCTATCAACTTTCTCTGTCAAAGAAGTTAATTAAGACCTAAGAAGCTAGTTAAAAAAAACACTCTGACTTGGGATCAGTCTTGAAATAGAGGATCTATCTAAAAGTACTATTTGTCCAAAAGTTGGAAGGAAAGAAAAAGGGTTTTATACAAAGTAAACTTAAGTACAAGATTTAATTTATACATATTCAATCATACACTGCATCAAACATCCTTACCTATTTTAGTTCTGTCTCTGGTAGCCTAATGATACGAAGCGGTGTGGCTAACCCAAAGGCAAGTGGTTCAAATCCACCAGTTGCTCCACAGGACAAAGATGGGCAATCTCTTCCTGCGTGATATTTACTGCCTCAGAAAACCCGACGGAGGTTCAGCTATGTATCAAATACAACTTGACAGAACATAACAATAACCGTATATATGAAAGAAGTCCTTGAAGGTGCTGTGGTTAGTGCATCTGACTGCTAATGAAAAAGTTGGTCGTTCAGAGGCACAAGCCAGTCTACAGGAGAAAGATGAGGCAATCTGCTTCTATAAGGATTTATATAGTCTTGCAAACTCTATGGGGTAGTTCTATTCTGTCCTACAAGGTTGCTGTCAATTCAATGTACATCAAGTGACAAACGACTATGTCATTTATCATCTGTATGGACAATTGGACTCCACTGTGGAGATCATATTAGGCAAGCTGGACATGAGATGCTCCATGACCTTCCCACCCATCCCTGTCTTCTGTAATGTGACCCTGGCACAGACGCCCTAGTTGCATCACAGCACCTTTTGTGCTTTGTTCCCTCCTCCCTGGTCCTCTCCTGTCACACCTCCACAACCAAACCTGTTACAGAATTCCTTTACCTCTTGTGAAAGGAGAAGAGAGAAAAAAATTTACCTCCTCACGCCGGTTCCTGAAGACAAAGAACCTCTGTTTATCCTCTTGGCCGTTGCTGAAGGAGACAAAGCCCCCTTCGAGGTCTTCAAAGATGAAGATCCTTGTGGGGAAGAGCTCAATCTTTGTGGAGAAAAATGGGCAAATGTCATAATAAGAGAATACATAATGCATTCACTTGAATATTCAGCATCAACTATGACACAGTAGGTTTTAATAATAGTCAACAGTAAAGGTGACTGACACATGGACCTAACTCTGAGCCTGACACTGTTCTGAGAACTTATGGGCCTTAACTCAGAAAATTATTACAACAATCCTGGGGCTGGTATTGAGAACTACTGTCCCCATACAAGTGAGGAAATAAAAGTAACTCCATTAGCAAATAGCAGAGCTGGGATTCCAAACCAGGATTCAACACCCACACCTAAACACAACCCCATCAGCTCTGGTTACTTCCTTTCCACTGTCTTTCATTCCCCAGCAGGGAGGATGGAGTCCACTACTTTATATTTCAAATCTATTTTAAGATTTTAAATCCAATCTCTCTTTCCACACTGCAACTACCCTAGGAAAAGTCCTTGTCATTTCTTACCGCTGACTTCTTTAACAATGCAAATTCTGATCAGCCTCCAGCAAAATCTAAAACATAAATCTGAACTGTTACTTCACTCTTTGAACCATTTAAAGTTTCCTTGGTGCCTATACAGTGCAAATTTCCTGGCTTAGCTTATAAGACTCTCCAAAGTCTGGGACTTGTCTCTCTAAGGCAGACTTTCCCACTGGATTCTCCACTCTAGTTATACAACACCTTGCGTTTCCTGAACAAGCTGCATTCATACTTCTGTCTAGTCCACACAGGCTGCTCTTCCTGCAGGGTATCTTCTCACTCCAGCCTCCATCGGACTTTAGGGTAATGCTGTGTGAGCTCTAAACGTCCCCTCATACAGCAAGCCTTCACTGAATTCCCAGGCAAGGATCCTACTTAATCATCCATTTCCTTCAGAGTAATGCCCAGTTTCTATATATTTCAGTGCCACACTAAGATACTAGAGGGTCAGGCTAGAAAGGAAGACCTTCACTGAGATAGCATGGCTGTTAACAATGGGGTTGCGTATGGACAAGTAGATGAGGATAGGGTCAGGATTCAATCTATTGTTCTTCAGGTTGCTATGAATTATAGTCAGCTCAGCAGAGCCTAACAACAACATGAGAAGAGTGCCGAGTTCAGACACCAGTAAATGTTTGCTGAATGGATAAAAAGGAAAAATGGACTCAAATCCCTACATCCAGGGCCTATTCATGGATTTAATATCAAATCTAGTCTATCCTAGACAAATCATTTCATACACACAGATCTTGCTTTACCTACATTTACTCATAAATGCTTTTCTACATCATTTTCCATACAAACAATAGCTCAGGCACATGGTTTACTTCTGAATTCAGAACAAGAAATTCATACTAAAAGCCACTCATGTTCCTAGAAAAGCCCAAGGCCTCTTAAAACTGCCCCCCACTAAACAATCCTGACTCTAGTGAATAAGAACCAAAGGGGAAGAAGACTGAATCTGCTTCTTCCTCCTATCTCATCATTGGTCAAATGTGTCTACTGCTCTTCCCAAGCTCCATGCTAGACCCCAGAACCACTTTGAGAATGTTTCAAGATATTTCCAGAGAAAAATTCTTTCACTTCCTATTCAAATGGAGATTACAGAAGGGAATAAGTAAACGAAGGGGGAAACACATGTAAAAATGGGGAAGAAGGCCTATAAAAATGGGAACAAATTCAAAATAAAACCTAGAGTGAGTGAAAGGCATGTTGAATAGTCAACTGCAAAATGTGCAAATAAACAATGGCTTTGCAACCAAACCACACAGGTCTCCATAGACTGTAATAAAATACAAAATTCTGCTCATGGTGAGCATGTTATAAGTAAAGCATATTCTAAACATCTGAGGCAAAGGAAAAAGAAAGTTGAGACACAACTGGACTCATTCAGGGTGGTATGCCATAGATAGAAAATAATTTTAAAGTAAAAATGTATGTGTAGTTCATTGTCATCAGCTTAAGAAGTGTCAGGGACTTTATCTAAAAGGTGGCACTGATTAACAAATGGCTTGAAATTCAACCTTGTTAGTAGTACCTGAAAGGCTGTGACACTGATCTTGGTTGCCCTTTTATGTCATCCAACCTACGAAATCAAAACACAAACTATTACTAGACTCATAACACAAAACCCAACAGGCATATCAAATGGAATCAAACCAATGGAAAAAAAACAAACATTAGGCTGGTAAAAGGGCTAAATCTGACAAAGGCATATGTATAACTACATACCTTCTGTTAAAAAAATATCCTAGAACCACTTGGAAATTTCTTTAATTCCTTACTCATTCCATCTGGAATTTCATTTATAACATCTTATTTTTTAATCAGAAACTGGTCTTACTTAATTCCACGAAAGGTAAAAAAAAAAAATGATGATGTAGAAAACACTAAATTTAAAAAAAAATGAGAACATTCTTGAAAATATAAATAAAAGAAGATTAAGAAGAGAGAAAAATCATACTGAGACAAGTACGAGTTTCTTTCACTTCTTTTGTCAAATTATTTTCTGTTACTTTTCTATAACTTACCCCTTCCTCCTGCTAGTGATTTCTTAACAGTCAAATATAAATCTGTTTCTAATTTGTATTCATCAATATAAAGCAATTTCTTGGCAATCCAAGGATAGAAATGGTGAATAAAAAAAAAAAGATTGATGATATACACTGATCACAAGGAACCATCAGCAGTGAGCAGAAATGAAGTAAAATGGCTTAGAATACCAACTCCATTTCTCACTCCATTCCATCAGGAAATTATTTCACTTCTGCAACCGCAAGCAACCAGTCCATACAGAGATAAAGATGCATACCTTTTGTATTAACTCAGTTAATCTTTATATCCAATGAAGTACCTCTTGGTTTGTGGTCCATAACAAGTGCTCTGTAAATATTTCTTCTCAACTTTCCAGTGACAGTTGGTGGTTGTTATTATTAAGTACTAAGCTTTCTATCTTGCTTCTACCCCAATGTTGAGCTAAATTTATCTTTATTTCTCGGATCAGCAAACTAGCACTCCAAGAATAGGCATGAAACCATCTTCCCAGATAAAACTATAAAAATCAAACTCCCTGTGATTACAGTATTCTTACACATTCCTCACTTAAAACTCCAGGATAAGTGGCTATTTCCCATTATATTAATTTTTGGAATAACAATAAAGAATGTTGACAATCTTTATAGATCCTTGTATCTACAATGGCCCAGAAGGCGTGCCTCACTCAACTTGTACCCTCAGTGGGTTTCAGTGTGAGCTCGAAGTCCAGTCCCATCCATGGATTCTGATGAATGATTTCAGACTTTAAGCTGGAGATGGTTTATAATTTTATAGACACATATTCATTCATCAAATCCCATATTCATTTCCCAAAATATTAAACAATCTGTAGTAGATGCTTTTAGAAGCTGTCAGGTCAGTTCCATTTCACAGCAGCTCTATATACAACAAAAGGAAACAACTGGCCAATCCTGCATTACCCTCACAATCTCTGTCATGCTCAAGTCCATTGCTGCTGTCACCTATCAGTGCATCTCACTGACAGTTTTCCTCCCTTTCAATGATCCTCTACTCTACCAAGCATGATGTCTTTCTTGAGGGATTGGTCCAATGTATATGAGATGAAGTCTTTCCATTCTTACTTCAAAAGAAGGTTAAGGAACTAGATGTGATATACCAGTTCTTTTTTATAATTTAAATTTATTATTAATTTCAGTAAAAATTTACATAGACTTTGGATTTCAATTCATTCACTGTTGCACTTTTCTTCCCTCTCAACCCTCCCCCCGGTACACTACCCTCTTGGAAAAGTAAAAGAAAAATTCTTTCATTGTTTTACAAACCCTCCCCCAGGTCCAATCCAACATGTAGTCTTCGTTCTAGACTCCTATGATGACAAAAATACCTAATCACATATCCCTTTTAAACAGTTTCCTACCTCATCTGTTTCAATGCAGTATACATTATTAAACCTATCTTTCTCAGTTTCTCCCCAACGGCAAGACCAGTCCTCTTTTACAACAGAGGTAACATGCAATATTTGTCCTTTTGTGAATGGGATATTTCATTCAGCATAATGTTCTCCAGAGTCAACCATTTTGAATACTATTGCATGAGTTCCTTGTTTTTCAATGCAACATAGTATTTCTTTGTGTGAATATACCACAGCTTCTCTAGCCATTCATTTGCTGATGAGCACTTAGGTTGTTTCCAGCTCCTTGCTATTGTGAACAAAGCCGCGATAAACATGGGTGTCATATATCTGCTTGGATGTCAGTTTTGGTCTCTTTGGGATATATTTCCAGTAGTGGAATTACTGGGTCAAATGGTATCTCTATTTGCAACTTTTTGAGAAGGTGCCATACCGCCTTCCACAGTGGTTGCACCATTTTACACTCCCACCAACAGTGAATAAGGGTTCCAGTCTCTCCACAACCTCGCCAGCATTTGTTGCTTGCTGTTCTGTTAAATTTTGCTTTTCTGTCTGGTGTGAGATGATATCTCATAGTTGTTTTAATTTGCATCACTCTTAGAGCTACGGATTTTGAACATTTCTTCATGTGGTTGTTAGCCAACTGAATGTCTTCTTTGGTGAAGTGCCTGTTCATATCCTGTGACCATTTTTCTATTGGATTATTTACCTTTATCTTGTTGTGGTGCTCAAGTATTTTATAAATTCTAGATATAAGTCCCTTATCTGACATGTCATTACCAAATACTTTTTCCCAGTCAGTGGCTTCCCTTTTTACCCTGTTGGAGAAGTTTTTGGATGTGCATAGGGATTTGATTTTTAGAAGATCCCATTCATCTATTTTATCTTCTCCTGGTTGTAGGTATTTTTTATTATTATTATTTTATTCTGATTTATTTACAAAGTTTGTCTTTCACAAAAGATCCTTCCCATTTTTCACCCATCAAATTGTGAAACCCTATGATTAACATCTACCCACCCACCCATTCTTACCCTCTATTTCCCCCCTTATCCCAATCATCATACTTATTTTATAATAATGGTTTTATACCATATTTGTACTTGTGGGACTGAGTTAGTTCACTCAGCAGAATGCTCTCCGGTCCCTCCCAAATTAAGTAGTAATTTACAAAATCATTGCTCCTACGTGCTGTGTAGTATTCCACTGTATGAATGTATCAAAACTTCTCAATCCATTCTTTTGTGGTTGGACATCTGGGCTGTTTCCATGTTCTTGTGATGGTGAATAATAATGCTATGAACACCGGTGTACAAGTTCTCATTTGAGCCTAAATTTTCATTTCCTTGGAGTATATTCCAAGCAACTGAATAACTGGGCCATACAGAATTTCTATGTTCAGCTTTTTGAGGAAGCTCCAAACTGCCTTCCAGAGTGGTTGTACCATTTTATAATCCCACCAACAATGTATTAGAGTTCCTATCTCACCACATCCTCTCTAACATTTATTACTTGCTGTCCTGTTAAACTTTGCCACAATACCATCTCAGACAGGAGTCTCATAATGAAAGTTTATAGAATACTCCTGGGCCTTCACAAGAAAAAGACAGATAACTCAATTACAATATGGGCAAAAGACATGGAAAGAATTTTCACAGAGGAAGATATTCAAATGGTCAACAGACTTACGAAGAAATGCTCCAAATCACTGGCAATAAGGGTGATGCAAATCACAACCACCATGAGATACCACTCCAGTAGCAGTGACAAAGTTTAACAAGCATATACCAACTCTTACACGCACCATTTTATTACACACTCCAAGTTTCAAAACAAATGCCTTGGCATACTTGTAAGGATTCACTGAAAGGCAGAAATGCACTCAAAAGAGGAGAAGCGTGGAATTCTAAATGGAATTTGGAACATAGTCCCCAGAGAAAATGAACTCCTTAACAATATAAGGTGAAATTCCAGACACAGATCCAACTGATGCTTTCAACAAACATCTGAAACTACTTCCTGCGGTGAAAAAATAAAAATAAAAATAATTAAAAAAAAGATAAACAATGCCAAACACGGGAACAGCAATACACCAAAAACCAAGAACTAGAATGATATTAAAAAAAGGCGAGCAAGGGTTTTACCTACAAGAGAAAAGCCACAATAAATTTAGATCTAAAATGAACTTACCGAAATGCACAGGATGGCGAAGAGCGTGGCTGTCTCTGACTTTTTAAGGCACGTAGTTTATCTCCCTGGGTTATACCATTCTTCATCTCCACATCTTCATCTTCATCTAAATTATTCTGGGAAAACAAAACAAAACAAAAAAAATGCATGTGTTAGAAAGTCATCTCAAATAATTTTACCTTACGTAGATAATTTAATTACACAATGAATTCAGCACTGTTCATAAGTATGCTGAAGAACACTCAACTATTTGCTAGCTAAAACATATTGGCCAAATTCAAGATGAAAAAAAGAATGGGGGTGGATGTAGCATAATTTAAAAGGAGCTCATGTTAGCATGGACCACAATCAGATTCTCATGCAAAAACACAATTGTGTTTTGGATTATTGTCAAGACAAAGGTGAGCTCAATGGTTAGAGTGACTACCAAGCTCTATCACTGCGAATTACATAACTTACTTTCAAAAACGCAAGATAAAATAGTTTAAGACATTATGTACCATAAGATATGGTAATTGCAGGCCTTAAGTGGTACGATTGGTTAATGGGCTCAGCTGCTGTGTGAGTCCAGTAGAAGGCATCTTGGAAGGAAGGCCTGCCAGTATACTGTGAAAAATCAGCCCTTGAAATCCCGACAGAGCACAGTTCTGCTCCAACATACTCTGACATGAGTCCCAAGCAAAAGCATCTGGTTCTGGTATATGGTAAATGATTAACATTATTTAACACTAGTAAAGCACTTTCCAGGAGTGCAAAGACTATGTTCCTGGTAAATTAAGGCAGTCCTTTAACCTGTATAGGTCTGTATTAAAGAGGGTGAAACCAAGTGTCTCCTTGGAGGCTAGGATTTTGAAACTCCGTCTCGCATACTCTGGGTACATGACCAGGAGGAACTAATCCTTGGAGAAGGACTTCATGCTCAGAAGGGTGGAGGGACAGTGCAGGAGAGGAAGACACTGGATGAGATGGATTGATACAGTGACTGGGGCAATGGAGATTGGTGTGTTGAAGTCAGTAAGACTGGCTCAGGACAGGGGAGGCTTCAGAGCTGTTGGGCATAGGGTCACAATGAGTTGCAGCAACTCGACGGCACATAACAACAACATAATCTGAAAAATATTATGTACCATATTAGCTCTTTTTGCATTCTGTTTGTTATTGTTGTTAATGTGTCATCAAGTCAGAGTGACCCATATTTTGCAAGCCTTTAATTCTTACCATACCCCTGTAGGGAGAGCATTGTTGTTGTTGTCATGTGCTGTCGAGTCACCTGTGACTCGTAACAACCCTATGTACAACAGTCCTAAATCCTGCTCTATCCCTTGCCAATTTTACTGTCTCCGACACACCTATCCCCTTTACTGCAGTGACTTAATCAATCTGTTCCACCGAGGGTCTTCCTCTCCTGCACTGTCCCTCCACCCTCCCAAGCATGATGTCCCTCTCCAAGGACTGATCCCACCTTGCAACATGTCCTAAGTATCTCAGATGAAGCTTCAGAATCCTTGCCTCCAAAGAGCAGCCTGGCTTCACCCTCTCCAGGACGCAACCTGTTTGTTCTCCTAGCAGTCCATGATACCCTTAATACTCTTCTCCAGCACCACAGCTCAAAGACGTCAATTCTCCTTCTATCATGCCTAGTCATTGTCCAGCTCTCTGATGCATAGCAAGTGATTGCAGAGACTTTGGCCTTTATCATTATTCTCTTTAAATTACGTTATTGACATGAAAAGAATATGCATTATTGACAGAGGGGAAAAAGGAACTCACTGAAGTTGAAGATATTGCCCAAACACCCTAAACTGTCAATGGCAGAGCTATGATTTTAAAAGGCTACTTCCTGTCCCCAGGTGTAGTGCTATTCCTGATATCTATGCCATAGCACCAGCAATGGAGCCGGTGAGGATTGCATGTAGTCTGATTACCCTCCTGAAAATCCAAAAGGCATGAATTTTCTAAGATCTTTTCTAGACAAAATAGTCCTCAACCCTTTTTAAAATTATAATTTTTATTGGCTGGAGAATATATAAAATACACTTCCTGAAATCATACTCAAGTCATTACTGGTAACTGTTTCTAGATGACATACTTTTCTTCTTACCAACTAGATTGGATTGCATGAGCACATCTGGGGCTGAGTGAGCATGTTCTTGCTAAAAAGGCTGTATCTCACCTCTATAGCTCTGAGTCTTTTAAAAAGATATACAAAATACAAAGCAGGGTGAATACCTCAGTTTAAGCAATCAGCATGCAATAACTCATTCTCTCTTATCATTAACTCATTTACCCATCAGAAGTACCCCTAAGCACAGAATAGGCAATGATGAATAAAATATAATCCCTACCAAAAAAAAATAACAACAAAAGAGTACAATCCCTACATTCAGAAGGGATGGTAGATATTTAAATAAACAATTCGATCATACAGAATTTTCTTTAAGAGAGGCATAAATATTTTGGGAGCCTGGGAAAGGTGAAGACATGCAGCTGATAACTTCCTAGAGGAGGCAGTCTCTTAAAAAAAATGCAGCATATCAAGAAGTAGGAAAGATCTACAGCCACAAGACCTCTGACTAAGAGCCCAAGCGTTCTCTTAGACCTACAAGCCAACCCTCTATAAAGTCTCTGAAAATCGATTAGACCATCCATCTATGTCTGTACAATCCCACTAGAAAGAAACACATTACTACTCAAGGAAGTCTGAGAACCAAATTTGGGAAAGACCGAAGGTTAGATTTGCAAGGAACGTGGAATATCAGAGAATGTAAGTGTAGCTTAACCTAACTTCAGTAAGCACTCAACAAGCTGAGTACTGCATCTGAACCCTGTCCTATCCTGAGCCAATCTCATTGATTTTGACACAACTGGATAGTTAGCGATAAATAAAATCACATGATCTTTTTTATCATTAAAAACACAGATAAACATGGAGAATAAAAGTTAAAGCAATCTGTATATTTACCATCAAAAGTAAACATGTTAACATTCTAGCATAGTCTTCTAGACCTTTATGCTGCTTTGCAATATCCCTTTTTCACAAATACAGTGTTTCCAGGCAAATTGTTGTTGTTGTTATGTGCCGTCGAGGCACTTGCGACTCATTGCAACTCTATGTACAACAGCCCTAAACCCTGCTCTGTCCTGTGCCAATCGTTCGCACTGTCTCTGACACACCCATCCCAACTACCCCAGTCACTGAATCAATCCACCTCATAGAGGGCCCCTCCTGCGCTGTCCCTCTACCCTCCCAAGAATGATGTCCCTCTCTAAGGACTGGTCATTCCTTTTAACATGTCCAAAGTATGTTAGAGGAAGCCTCAGAATCCTTGCCTTCAAGGAGCTACCTGGTTTAACCCTCTCCAGGAGGAATCTGTTTTCTTAGCAGTCCATGGTACATTCAATACTCTTCTCCAGCACCAACAGCTCAAAGGCGTCAATTCTCCTTCTTTCCTCCCTAGTCATTGTCCAACTCTCTGATGCATAACAAATGATTGCAAAGACCATGGCCTGTTTCAGACACACCTTAGTGTCCAGAGTGACAACATTGCTCTTCAGTACTTTGGTGAGGTCCCTAACAGCAGATTTGTCCATCACAATCCCATCCCAGGCAAATTAAAAGAAAAAAAAAAATTCTATGTTATCATTCTTTATGCTTCTTATGATTCCAGTATCAGGATATATCAAACTTTATCTACTTTATTTCTTTAAAACTCTTAGTCTGTTCTGTGTTTTTATCATGAAATAGTACTTTCAACATATCTATGTTGTTGTTATTATATAACCATTGAGTTGGAACTGATGGCAGCTGAGCCTCCAGTGGGTTTTCAGAGGCAGTAAATAAATAAATAGAACAGGAGATTGCCCTTCTTTTCCCAGAGCTGCTAATGGACTCAAACCAACTGTCTTTGGATTGGCAGCAGGAGTCACAAGCAATCGAAGGCACATAACAACATCTATCTGTCCAGGGGTTGATATCTGGAACTTTATGTGTCATGTGTTGGTGAGGTGTGTTTTTTTTTTTCCTTTGAGAAAGTAAGGATCCTTCAGTAAAGGAGCTTAAATAAAAATTGCTAAAATTGCTTCAATGCATGGATGTCTGCTTCAGTTTTGATTGCTTTCTACATGTTTGCTCATAGCAGCACGGCCAAACTATGCTTGGAAAGGTTATTACTTAGAGAAGAACGTAATGCTTGGAAAGGTTGAGGGTCAACAAGAGAGCAGAAGACCCTCAACTGAGGTCAGTTGACACAGTGACAGCAGCAATGGATTCAAGTGTGTCAGAGATTGTGAGGACGGCACAGGATTTGACAGATTTCAGATCTGTTGTTCACAGGGTCATTTATGACTCTTACTTGACTCGAAGCACCTAACAACATGTTTGCTATGCATCATAATCGTGAAAGAAACTATTTTACCTTAAGAATCACAATGCAGTGGGGGACATATGTGTAAGTAACTCTGGTGTGAAATAGACTGTCTTTTTTCTATTGAAGTCTCTATGTTTTTAAATCTTACTTTTATTTGAACTAGTTAGTAAATAACCAAAGCTTTAAAAAAAAAAGTGTTGAATTCTTACAATAAAAAACTTCAGTTCCTTATCCCACTATTCTATGTGCCTCTTACATGTGACTCTGGGTTGAATTTAGAATTCTAGCTTGAAGATCAATTTTTCTCAAAATTTTACAGGCTCTTCCAGACACAGAGGCTAGGAGAACACAGAGAGCTTATTGTTTAGTGGGACAGACAAACGTCCTTGGCTTTTTAGTATCTACAAAGATACCAGGTGAAAATATAATTAAAGCTCCACATTGATTATCAATTTAGAGGAACTCTGCTGAACATTAGCAGCACCTGTATCTAATTAATATCTCTACTCATGAGTATCTGATTAGTGTGCTAATATTGAGCTATTAACTCAGAATAAGAAAGCAAATCTAAACGCAGTCACAGTTCTGGTCGAAATTTATTAGGATGGGCTGACTAAGATAAGGTTCAGCATGACAGTATATGATGCACAAAAGCCAAGTGAAGACCTCATAGAGATATAGCCAGGAACAGTTGGAATGGTAGAGTGCAGAGACTCTAGACCCAGAGATCCCAAGTTCAAATCCCAGTTCCACCACTTAGTTCTTCAGTGACTTTGACCAGGTGGCTTAACGTTCCCTCCCTCATCTCTGTCACTTACAAAATGGGCATAATGTCAGTGTTTATTTCATATGCTGTTATTATACTGAATTAAAAGGATTAATATATACATAAAGTGTTTGGCACAGAGTGAGAACTCTTTATATCACGGTAATGTACCTTAACCTTCTCATTTAGCTTAAATACCTGCACCATAAGTAAGGTGCTTTTAACTGCATCTTTTCAATACCTTTACGAATCAACTCCAAATAAGCTCTTGAATTTCAAAATGAGCACTTATTAAGATTTTTTTTTTTTAGTATATGCTATCCTTGTGGTTACTGTTACATACCAATGAGTCAGAATACCTCCAGTGGGTATTCAGAGTGGGTAAATCAATCGATGGGAGGAAATTGCCCATCTTTCTCCCACAGAGCAGCTGGTAGATTAAAGCCTTTGGGTTGGCACCACAGCACCTTACCATTAGGTCACCAGAGCCCCCCATAGCTCTTATTGGTGATCTTTAAATAGCTTGACTTTTTAATGATTTTATGTGTATTTTTTAAAAAAGTGTAAACCCTCTTCATTCATTCATTCATGCAATGTCTAGTAGACTCGGAACTCTTGGATGATAATCACAGCAGGCACAATTGCAGGTCCCTGCCATTTATGAAGGTTATTGTCTAACAAGGAAAGGGCAATTCTTGGCACTCACTCACTGCTACCTAGTGGGAACAGACTCATAGCTAACCCTCCAGCAGGTTGTCAGGCATGTAAATCTAACATTAAAAGACTGCCCCTCTTTCTCCCAGGGTGCGGCCAGTGAAGCCACATTGCCAGAGACAGGCAGTCTGTGGTTAGCAGCATGCACAGCTAACTCCCTACAGACTATGCCATCAGACTGCAAAGTATAATGCACAAAAGACACAAAGAGCAGGGAGCTTCATTTGGACCTGCAAGATCTCTCTTCTCTTTCATCTCTCTCTCTCCCTTTCTCTCTGCTGTGATTTGGAACCAACTCATAGCTAACCCTCCAGTGGGTTTTCAAAACCTATAAATTGCATGAGAGGAAATATCCATCTGTCTCCTGAAGAGCAGCTGTGGATTTGAACTGCCTGCCTTTGTGTTAGCAGTGCAACTTCTTACCCCCTAGGCCCACAGAGCTCCCTGAAAGAGAGACCCTGGCTGAAGATCAGATCAATAAAGCCTGTAAAGCTTATTTTTTCTGAAAATTAATCATACTTGTTAAATAACTGAAACAAGAAAGAATAACAAGAAACCACAATAAAGTTATAATCTAGTCCATTACCACAACTTGCACCATTCTATTCACTACTACTTTTGGATTTTTTTTACTTACACAAACCTCCTGGACACTGAAAAACTATACATTGGATTCTCCAAGTTAGATAATTACAGAACACCTCAAAGAGAAATTTCTGCAAGCCTAGAAACCAAGCATTTCAATTTGATTCTACAAAGTCATACTGAATTGTCTTCACTCTGATTTTACTTAAACAAAAATCAGTGCAGCCCCTAGAGGAACACCAGTTTTTTCCAACTATCTTTACATACAAACAAAATTGAATCCAGAATTTTCATTGGCATCTACTCTTATAGAATTCCTGCTACAATGTCAACTTATTTGCCCACTTGCAATTCATAATAGTAGAAAAAATAATCAAGTTCACTTTTAAGCAAAAGTGGCCTCCCCCATTCATAGTATGTTCTGAGGCTGGCACCAGATAAACAGGGCAAGCAAGAGCTTCAAAGAGTTCACTGGACAAAGTATTAATTGTCAATAAAATGGTCCAAAAGTGAAATATATGCCATAGTCTAAAATATGAGTCATACCATCACTAACTGGTACTTCTGGATTCTTCCCTTTTCCTCCTATAATTTAAAAAATTATAGCACTTTTGAATGGTTGGAGCTAAAATAATTATGGGAGGATGCAGGGGATAGATGCAGGGGAGAGGAAGAAAACAGTCTAGCATTTGAATATATGCTTGTATTTAAAACTGGCTTACTGTTCTTAGTTACTCAGCTATTGCAGAGTATAATAGAAAAAGCACAGGTTTGGCATTAGACCGACATAGATTGATGCTTGTTTCTAACATTGAATTAAGGACCTTCTGTATACTCAAATTCCTTGCTTGTAAAATGAAAACCACCCTATCTAATTCATCAGGTCATTCTAAAGACAGTATCAGACAATACATGGCAGTTGCTTAAAATTGGTTCACTTCTAGGAGAACCGTAACTTAAAAAAAAAAATAAAAATAGCTCCTCAGAATGTTTTTAGCTCCGGTCTAGTCTTTCTCTCATTGTCAATGAGCTGGAACTGGCTCACAGCGGGCTCTCCAGTGGTTTTCCAAGACTGTTCATCACACAGTCTCCTGGGAGGAGGTTGCCTCCCTTTCTCCCAAGGAACCACTGGTAAATTTTTTTCCCCTTTTAGAGTTTCAATTGATACTTCTTTTAAAAAAATACTGGCTTATTTACAAAGTCCATATACACTGTTTTTCACACCAGATCTTTCCCGTTTCCTTCACCCCCGCCTCCTTCCACCCATCAAATTGCACGACCCTGTGATTATTGCATTAGCATGGGTAGATTTGATCTACGTGAGAAGCACTCCCTTTAGCTTAGCAGTCCAACTCCTTATGGACTACATCAACAACAGTAAGAATAAATTTGAGTCTTGCTAAGTCCCACTGTATTTATACAATCTGTCACTTCAATATTTGTTTTCCTTATAATTTTGTTTCTTGGTTTTCAATCATTCATATACTTTTGTTTTATAACATTATAGCTTACCAATGCCATTTATTGCAACATCTCATCAAGTTACCTGCCCCTAAATCCTTCCTCAAATTTTTAATTTTAACAGGAAAATCAGTAAATTATTTTTCTACTTAACAATTCTCAAATACAATTCTGCCTAGTTTGTTATAATCATAGAAAACTTCAAATCATCTGTTTCAGGAAGGCAGCTTGTTTAGGTTCTTTCAAACTAGTTCTAAAACTGTCATGTTAACATTAGTGTTTCAGCACTTCCTCACAATGGTCTTTACAAAGTTCTGGTAACCGCTCCATGGGAGAAGAATGGGAACTCATTTCCTGTACACTCTACCACCTCTGAAAACCCGCTGAGTGGTCAGCAATGGATCGGTCCTGACTCAGTGGTATACAATAACAACAACACTGGTCTTGGGGATTATTTTTCCACTGCACAGAGGTAACTCAAGCACTGGACATTTACCTAACCTCTTTGTAAATTTTAGGATTAAAAGAGACACAATAACATGATAATAACAAATACTTCAGAAATTTCTTCATGAAATATTAATTTTTCTCAATAATTAAAATAACTACTTATCTACTCATTTTTTGTTTTATTTTCTGGCTTTATTTCTAAATATTACATATAAACAAAATGTGTGGCTTTATGAATTAAATGTTAAAAAAGAAAAACAGAAAACCAAAATATTTTTCACCTTGATAGCTATTTCAACTAAAAAGGTGGCTTTCTATTTCCTTTCTGTAAGTATTCTTTAATAGAGAATGGGCACCTTTATAAAAGTACTCCTCACATTACTGCTGCTTCTTTTTAAGGGTAATTGCTTTCTTTTCTTTGATTCTTGCTTAATAAGTAAGAGCATTCCCTCTTAAACACTTGGTACGCTCAACTCCTCAGAGAACAGATGCTGCTATATTATATGTGTTCCCTTGGGAACGAGGAATTGGAGAAGATCATGTTAAACAGAGATAAAAACCTTTCTGGGAGAAGCTTACCTCTCCAAATCTCTCCACGTTTTGTATCTTAGATAAGTTTGCACCAATAGTCATTTCATCCAAGCTAGAAAGAATTTTATTAATACTTCCTTCACTGGATGGTCTATTTTTCATTTTGGATCGAAAAATATCTCCTTGAACCCACAATGATGCTTGCTTTCTGTTGAGAAAAAAAAAGAGAAAAAATAATCTTTAAAATAAATTATTCTCAGAGATTAGTAGGCAAATATTTGCCAATCAGGCTGGAAAGATGATGAAATAGTAAAAAAGTAAAATCACTCTCTAAAAGGAAATAGTAATTGTTTCAAAATTTTACATTAGGAATACACATCTCCAAATGCATCTCTAATACAAGCATTCCTCAATTATAGGCATGGTTAAGTTCCAAAGACCAACAAAGTCATTAGTGAAAATGCAGAGTTATTTGAAAATAGAGGATGACCACATCAGATCTCAAAATGGAGGATTCTCAAGTCATCCTATGGAGCTGCTACTGGACTTGAACCACCAAAGAAGCTTAGCCATTGGAGTAACAGTGTAACAACTCCCTACTTACTAGGCCACCAGAGCAACTCCTGAAGAACTACTCCAAGGACGACTCTAAGGACCATTGCTGTCCTATGAAATACTGTTGCTGTTGTTGTTAGGTATAAAATTCCAGAAATTATAGTCTTCTACCTATGGCAAAAAGTTATGCAATTGTATTCATGTGTATGAATTAGGTGTCTTCCAGTCTACTATGATTCAAAGTGACACTATGAACAAGAGGTAAGAACCTTGACTGATCCTATCCTGTGTCAACCTCATGATCTCTATTACACTGAAGTCTTTTTATACTCACTGGGCAGATCCATTTCATAGAGGGCCTTCCTCTTTTCTCTCCAAGGACTGGTTCCTCTTGAAAATACA